TCTAACTGCATATAAGGTGGTACAATGACATAGAAGTGTGGAATAAGAAGGGATTCTTGAGAGCGAGACGATCAAGAGTTGTCGGCATAAGCACTGTACCGACTGACCCATGACACAGAGGTGTGTGTCACAAAGGAGAAGACACGAAACAGAATAAGATCTGTGCCAATAACAGTTCCAGGAATGTAGACCCAGAGAGCATGTCTTGGTGCCGCCGTTCCAGGAGAGAAGACACGTGAATAGAGAGCCATGAAGAATGACCTAGGAAGATTCTCCTAGATCTACCGCTGTCTCATGAAAATTGTCTCAAGACAATACAGGTCACGAGACTCGCGACCTGTCTCGGTGGGTGATTTATACCATCAACTGTCTTAGCAGCGCCCTTCTAGGTCGCAAGTAGGCCTGAGACTATCTGCCTATGCTATAGGGCCAGGTACTTCTGTTAGTTATCGATGGGGCCTTTGAGGCTCACCAACTTGGTTTCATATGTTCATTTACTCCTTCAAATTGAGCTCCTGCATTCGCAGTTAAGTGTTTTATGTTCCTGCTTGCGGTAGAAGCGAGTCTGACAATGAGACTTCGTGGTAATTTACAACAAACTAAAAATTGCTCTGTATGGATCTATGACGTCATCTCACTACTCTGCTACCTCTCATCAGCTATATAAGGAGCGAAGGGTCCTATTTACCTAAAGGCTGGTCCTATCTTCCACACTCCCTCTTCCTCGATGCACAGCGGGCCATTCTGTTATCGACAGACAATTCGCAAGCCTCAGTATGTCTTCAACGCCAGATGACGATACTTCGAGGAGGGGATTACCGAACTGAGTACTAGGCCGAAACGCGTTGCTTGTTTGAGATTGGCAGCCCGAATGCTGCTTCCAAAATCAGTAATACCGCTCATAGGACATCTCCTGAAGTGGTAATAGAATTAGCCGTCTTGGGAAGGTGATGTCTATATATGCCGGTTCCTATTTAGGCAACTCATCATTATTGAGTAGTCTACAAGAACCAAATGGCAGAAAAGAACGGATTTCATTTGAATTTTTCTATTGTGATCAAGATCGATATTGATTACTCTACACTTCCCAAAACAGAGATCCAACGAAAGCGCCAAATCTATGATCAGTGAATCTCGTACATTGAGCTTCAGGGAAGTGTGCAATACTCTCACGCAAGAGCACGTTGTGATCCTTGAATTGATGATTCTTGAAGGTATGAATACGGACGGGAATGTAACTAATCCCTCC